GCAGGAGTACTCATTCCCTTGCATGAAGACCCACTCAGTCTGCAGCTGCTCCATGAACACCAGAGAAGGAAAAAAGTTAAATAAATCATGCCAGAAATTAAGACCTCGCATCAGCAGCTGCAACAGTCAAAAGAAGAGCAGAGAACCTATCTGAATTAATACATGGCTCTAGCCCAGGGAGCTGGCTGTGAAAGGCCAAAACAGGAAGGCTTGGCACAGGACAGATACTAAAGCTTTTTGAACACAAGAAAAGGGACTGAGGTTATTTCCTTTAGAGGGGCATGGCCAAAGTACAGCACAAGTAATCTGGCTGCATTAGGTTCCTCCAACATCCTGTGGGAATTACAATCCTTGGAGAAAGAAATCTTCTATTTTTAACAGGGAGAGAGTATTACGCATTAGGAGACTTAACAGAAAACAAATATTTTGTTCTTTTAACTTGGTGATACAACTGTCTAGAAATGGAAGCTCTTCACCCTTTATCAAATCAGATGCCTTAGCGGTAGGACTTGGGGGCCTCATCATCCCAAACCCTGAACAGCTATTTGTTTCACCTTATTTTCATCTCAGACTATGCCCCCACGAGCTTTTGTAAGGAACCTGAATGGCGTGCTAGAAACATCACATTATCACGTGAGCACGTCTGCCTTCTCCACAACTGTAAATTTTAATGGTGCAACTGAGAAGATACTGTCTTACTACTCACTTAGCATACATAAGGTTTAACGGGGGGCGGGGAGGTGGGGAAGGAAATCCCTTGTTTTACAGGTTAAGAATGATGCCAAGTATTTCTCAAGTCAGACTCCCCTGGTGAATACTACTAACATTTTTCACATTCCAGTCCACTCCCAGACCACTCCTTACAGAAGCAAAGGGAGGCTTTGAAGAGCCTAGATTAATTTGTAACATGTGGTCTTAACAATTAAGAACAAAAATAGCACAAGCTAGAAGAAACGAAGGAAGTGAAAAACACCTCACTTCTAAAGATAGGATGGCCTCAGGTGAGATCCCGCATATCAGACCACTTCATCCAGCTGCAATTTAATGTCCACCTCTCACCCATCAGCCCCACAGTCCAGGAGAGAAGTGCAGGTCTAGTGAACTGTGCTCACCCTTGTTCCTCAGCACCTTCCTTCCAAAGGTCTTGCAGCATCACTTGTCCCTTGCTTAGATAGGATTCTCCATTCACTCTTGAATTTCACAACAAATCAGGTCACACAACATACTTCTCTCATGCTGTTATTCAGTCAGGCCTTTCTTACCATCTTAGAGCAACACAACCTACGGATGTAGGACAACACCACAGTATCAGCAGCTAACCAACACACGGAAAATACTTTATGGAGCACCAGACTGCTATTCCCTTTCTTTGGAACTGTTGCTACCAGGGGACGCAAATCAACAAGGTTTGTTTCCTTAAAGCTGACACATTTTTGCCATATATTCAGAGGGCACTATCAGCACTTCTGTGACAACATGCCAGAGCATTGCTTGGTCATAGCATCAAACATGCAAACATACAATCACTGCAAGGCAAGTTTTACAGCAGGATTCAAGTTACCTTTTATACACCAGCTATGTGAAGGTGGGAGGCTCTCAACTGCAGCACAGCTGCATCTAGTTTAAGGTCAAAATAAGAACAATGGTATTTTGTGCTTTAAGAACTCTTCACAGGAAGCTGAGCCCATAACTAGTGTTTTATTCTCCCATGCCTTCTTGTACACTATTTCTGGCCAAAGCCATGCCAATGCAAACAAGATTATTTTTTAGATTATTACCACCTCTGTAATTGCCAGAAGGGAATAAACCAATAGACTGGATAGACATAAAAGGCTGGAACAGCTAAAAAACCCACTAGTAGCTACAGATGTGAGAATACAAGGTATTTTCAAAAGACAACACAAAAAAGTCCCGAAGATGTTTAAACATATCCGAGAAGTGGGAAAAAACAAAAATCTGAGCAAGTGTGTTCATGTTCCCAGACTTCAACGTGTTTAACAGAAGAGACTGAATTCCTCCTGCTAAGCCATCATAATAGTCAAACAAGCACTGTTCACAAGAAAACACACAGCAGGAAAAAGAAGCAAGTTGCATTTAATTACAACAAAGAGGGTTTCAGCCAGTTACAAGCCAGCTTACCCTAAACATTATACCTTACTAAAAGACAGACTTGGTGAACCACATTAAGTTGTATCATTCCTTTCATAAAGCAGGACGCCCAAACACTTCCTGAATGGTTTCTTTTAAATCTTTTCTTATGTCACCCTAGCGATACACTCTATCTTGCTGTGGTGGTATAGAAAGTTAAAAAGCAACTATTCCCACTTCTTGCATATAAGGGAAAATAAATATAAACAAGTATTAGAGTACCATGAGAGAAGATCTCCACCTCAATATATCATTTACCTCCAATGAAAGGTGATCAATTAGAAAAAAATAATAAACTTTTTTTACAAAAAGAAAAAAAAAAAAAACAAACAGTGGAACAGGCATGAAGATATTACAGCGTGAATACCAGCTGCTTACAAGCAGGGAATGTGCATAGCAATGTTCACTATTTTGCTTGTATGGCTTATGCAAGAGACACAGAAAAAAATGCATTGAGAGACCTTAATAGTTTAATTTTGATTTGACAAGTATAGTAAGTAATACCACTGCCAAATGATAGACAAACTTCACTCCCCCTGGAGCAACTAACTCTTCACCTGCCCCACTGTTTTGGCTCTATTCTAACAAGCAAGATTATAGGTGAACACAGACGTTTGTGGAAGAAGGAAACCAACCTCATTCCTCCTGAGGACAAACATCCATCCTTGTAGGCTCAAGAGAAGACATTACTTTCTTTTTACAGCAAAACACCAACAAGGAATCTTTCCTGTTCTCAAGTTTTACACAAATAAGATAATTATTTTAAGGAAAAAGAAGCTTGAACAATTTTTCAGTCTCTTTTCTTCCCCACATGGTACAGGCTACTCATTGTGCATTTGGGACTTCCAGCTGATATCAGGTCCTCTTAGATACACCTGGAACTAGTCTGTCCTCTGTTTGATCTGGGCACCCACAGGAAAGATGCCTTTCACCTGAACATCTTAGGCACTGAATGTTGTGATCCACTGAGGACATTGAAACATTAAAGTGCTTTTTTTTTTTTTTTTTAAAAAACCTGAATACTTTAAAGGTCACTCATCCTACATCCCAAACTGGACCAATAGATAACATACTATTTTTAATGCTCAACTACAAACAACTTGACTTCTGAAACTACATTAATTCAAATAGCAATGCAAGTTATGACAAAAGAAACAGGTTTCCACAGAACATTCAAGTTGATGGAAGAGAAATGAATGATTGGGAGAGACCTTTTACAATTAAAACACTAAGCAGCACAGAACATTTCACTAGTACCCAGCATTTCTGTTGGCAAGTAGCAAGATATGGCACATAGCCTTCTATGTTGGAGCTCTCTGGAAGCAATTTCTGAGGGAAAAGCACTGAGGCTGAAAGAGCATTAGCAGTGCCCCTAAAATGCAAGTCAGTTTGCCACCTACCAGACAGGACGCTAGTATTATTCCAAACCGTGTGCAGAAAGAGCTGCCAAAAAAGCAGCTGTCCTTCAGTTCCCTGTTCAGACATATTAGAAGCCTGATTTGAATACCTGAAATACTCATTACCTGAACAAAAATGGAGGTAGACAGGGCAAAAATGAATCATTGTTGATGAGAAAGCCTGAAGGACAGCTGACACATTTTCCCTTGTATGATAAGGTATATTTGCCTTGAAATTAAGAATAGGGAAAATCCAGTCTGCATTTAAAGACACGTGCAATGCCCACAGTCTGTAAACATCCTGCAACATAATCTCTCAAGAACAAGCATACTGCACAAAAAAATCTTGCATAAAGGATGGATATGGATAAAATCCGTAAAGACAGAACAAAGAGCTTGTATGATAAAACACAAAATATCTGATAAAATAACTTCTCTCTGATCACTAAGAGCAGAATTAAAAGAAGCCCTAAACATTTTGCTGCAAATTCAGAAAGGGGAGCAAACACAGAGCCTAGGACAACAGCTCCCAGACTTCCCTGCTTGGATTCCCATTTCTGAGGGTTTAGCCGAAGTAAGACGCAACTCCAGTTCTAGAAGAGAGAATAGGTTTCAAAGTACTGGGACAAAACAAATCATCTACCCCAAAGTGAAAGATTTCTCACCTCATTAATTTCACATCACGTTAATTAGTTACATTATCTGAATTCCACCTAAATTACCTCAGTTTAAATGAGAGGCTAGCCAAGTCTATTCACCCTATGAATTCTTTCATGGTCATAATAGATGTGTAAGATAAATCAGACAAAAGAAAACATCAAATTAACTGTCCAGGTATGAGAGAGTATGGTGGGGCTTGCTTTTTGTTTTAACTACTTTTACCACCTTGGTTTCTATTGCGATCAATCTTTTCACATATCCAACTTTTACCATTTAGTATGTCATAGCCACTATTTAAAAAAAAGGTCGAGGATACGTTAAACACCAATGATTTAAGATTAAATTATGGAAAATGAGGATGAACACATTGACACAGGCTTGCAATTTTAATTTTTAAAAGGCCCCTACGGTGGGACTAGCTATAGATGGCATCATGCTAATGCAAATGGAAAATAGTTTTTAAAAAAAACCCAAACAAAACCACTTTAAGTATGAATTCACACCATACACGTGTACATACTTAATAATTTTCTACGTTAGCTTTGTTTGAACTATAAATCAAGTCTATGCTACTAAAAATTTGGTATGTGCAACATTAACCCAATTAAAGCGTTTTATAAATACAAGCTTTTTAGTATTGCAACATACTTCACTACTTAACATACTGAAAAACAAGTTCTACATTTAAAATTCTGATGTAATAGCTCTATCTGCCAATTAAGACTACAAATGGAAAAATACTTGCTAATCTTTAACATTATCGAAAATGCAAATATATTTCATTTTTGGAAGAAAACAATCTTGTTTATACTACTGGTGCTTCTTTAGACATTTGAAGATACTACACTAACAAAATACAAACTTTGTAGTAAGCTTACAACATATACTTCTCAGAGGCAAAAAGAAAAAAAATCTGTTTTGTATTTATGAAGAAACCCATTTATTATAAAACAAGATAAAAGATACTAGAATTAAGTTGAAACAAGGCAACATTAGAACAACCACTTAGAGCTTTGTGAACGAAGTGTAGTTTTAAACTTGCAAGTCAAGGTGAACGTAGCTCTTAACATGCTGTCCTCTTCTCTATAAATGGGATGAAGTAGAGAAGCAAAGCTTCAAGGTGTAAGGGTTGGAACCATCTGTCAGGAGACAACATATAACATACTCAGGGCATTTTACTGAGCATAGCCCTCCTGCTGATCAAGATCACCTTGCATAATCTGACAAGTTTACCAATTCTGTAGATTTAAGGCTCACACCTCACCGCCTAACCCCGCCAGTGGCCCGCAGATACCAGGTGACCTGTAAGTAGGTATTATTGATAGTCTACTAGCATTTTTTAGACATAAAAACAAAGTGATGGATCTTGTCACAAGGGAAATGTAGATAGAATTCCAAGTGTTGTACCATACACAAGAAAGACTTTACCATTATTGCTGCCCCTCTTCCTAGCTGAACTATTTAGAAAAGTAGTATTTAACAGGCAATTTCAAAGACAAAAGACCTAGATATTTAAGGAAGTCAAGACTCAGAATGTGGCATTTCTATCAGAGACAGAGTGGCACTGGACAGTATTTACATGTGTTTGAAAAAAGAACAGCAGGATGTCCAGCACACCCTTCAGACCTCTCCAGAAAGCAAAGCTTAAAACAGCCCCCCTCTATTTGGAAAGGCTGCAAAGACCCACAGATGGCAGCACACATTTGCCTCTCAGGTAAGAGGAGATATATCCTCCTGATTCAGCCAACCTCAGACGATCTTATTACAGCAAGTCTTAACCAGCAGTCCTTGTTTTATAATACTGTCTATTCCTGTGATAGCTATATTTGATTATACATTAGGATTTGGCTTTTTCATGTTGCAAGCTAAGTTCTTCTGCTGTTATGACCTCTCCAAACTGAGATAAATCTGAAATTGTGAACAGTACATTATCAATAATATCTTAAAAAATATCCTACCCCTGAAATAATCTTAGTCCATTATTGAGAAGGTGGACAAAAGCGGGGGGGGGGGGGGGGTGGGCAGGAGAGTATAGGAAAGATTTAAACTGTTAACACTTGACAGGGAGACAAACTTTGTAATAGTTTGGAGAAGGTAGTTTAAAATAATATCAGACACTGGGCTGGATTCAAAGTTATGTCTGTGAACACCCGGAAAAATTCCATTTAATCTAGTACACTATCTTAATTGTCCAGTGCAGATCTGGCCTGTTGTGTGCTTGTTCCGCAGGTGAACTCCCCCTCCATTCTTACTAGTTTGGAGCAAAACTCAGCTTGGCCTCACAATTTCTGATTTGAAAGAGAACCCACTACAGGAGCAGTTCATTCAGAGCAGTAAGCTGTGTAACTTAAAGAATCTTCTGCCCAAAGATATTGCAGATTTCTCTGCATTTATCGTGAAACATATAAAAAGCTTCAGTAAGACATTATCCATTAGGTTGGATTTTGATAACAGTGGATTTTAATGCTCTTCCTTTCCTGCCTGCCGCCTTCTTATTGCAAACCAATTTATTATCCCATCTTTCCGTAACTTCAAAGTTGCGGAGCATATTTTAAGTTCTATAGGTTGACTCAAAAACTACAAAGAAAGAATGCCATTTAGATAGAAACTAATGGAACCTAAACTAGAGAATAAATACTGTAATATATATAGTATTTGTATACTGTAATATATATAGCACAGTATATGTGTGTATATATATAATATATAGCATATATACATGTAGTAAGAACGACGCAGTCTTTAGCTATAGACTGAGCTGCTGAAGCCTCATCTGTTACAAAGGCAGTATCAACATGAAAGAAAACAAGAAAAGAATTTATAGCAGTAAGATCAGTAAAATTTACTTACTTGGGACTCTTATCTGGTAGTGATTAAGTACAGTGAGAGCTTCCACTGCATCTGTCTTACATTCCCATTCCAACAGACCAGACAGTGTTTTGGCAGAAGCTGTCAAAATGAGAAATAAAAAAAGGGAAGGAGGGGATCAGTAATGTCTCCTGACAGTGTATGCTCTTATCAAAACTGGAATTCAAATTAACTCCCCAAACAGGTCAAAGTTTACTTACGTTTTGGATCAAACACTTTGTATTTAATAAAGCTGAGAACTTCATGATCCTCACATAACTGTCACAAAAATAAAACAAGAGGTAAAACTCCAGTAAAAATGCACATAAACACATTAGCAAAAATTCCAAGTTCCTGGAGGAGACACACAAAAAAGGAAAATACTGACACTTTAAGAAACCTTCCAAGAGTTTATGGCCAATTATTATTTTAAAAATGTTTAGATTGGTAACTCTTTAGAATACCATTCTATAGTATGCAAAACAAGGCTCCTATATCTGTGCTGTCCCATGATAAATACAGTTCTATAGGCACAAAAATTGTTAAGAGTACTGATATCACTACTACCTCAAACAACTTATTTAAATAAAAACAAGTTCTTTTTGACGTTTCCACTTCAATACAGTAGCTCAGAAGTTGTACATACAAGCACACCACTCATAAACCAGAGTTAAATTTCAGACAGAGCTTGAAAAAAAAAAAAATTTACTGAACTGAAAAAGAACTCACTGAGCTGTCATCAGTTTTACCACTGCCTTCACTCAAGAGGCCCAGTATTGCATGTTTTAAGCATCCAGAGTTCATTTAGGACTCAACTGTGCAAACTGTTCCAAGTGCATGCTTCTCTCCATTCCGAAATATCCTAGCAGTCATTAGAGTAACCACCTCAGGGAGTCAGTAAATCTTTTGCAAATTGTAGTCCTAACTTTCCCTGTATTTGGCTTTGTGTGTCTTTTCCCCTTCCTCCACAAAGAACACATGAAGGTCCTGAATTTTATTTCCAAGATCTTGTTTCTCACGTAAAAAATAAAACAAACAAAAAAAAAAAACCCAAAACAAAATTGAGAGAATAATGCCAGAATTGTGAAAATACAGCAGCTTCTATATAGACAGGCTACAAACCTATTTTAAAAAACAGTTCTCTTCAGTTGCTATGCTGTAACTATCCCAGTTATTTCTTTTTAAAAGTAGCACAGTGTAAAGCTAGGATAGAGCCCCAAAGCATTATATGTCACAGTCATTTCAACTGCCTACCTTTACAAATGTTTCTTCAGTTACACACAGGGGAACATTATAATAATGCAGCACACAAGAGGGTGGTTGGATGATGTTCTTAGATGCTTGGCCGGCACTGGTGAAGCGATTATTCTTACTCATTGCAAAATCCTTGTAACTACTCGTGCCATCCTCCAGTTCAAATATCTGGCTTGGAACTACTGAATGCTGCTTGGAAACACTGGGATTTAAGGATATATATAGTTAAAGTTTCTTAAATAATTAAGACTTGCATACTTTTCACACAGATTATTGATCTAACCAGAACAGACCTGACATTACTTTACAACAATTTGAAATAGAAGGAGAACAAGACAGGCTGGATTTGACACTTTCCTTAAAAAAAGGTAGGAAGGATCATAGAATCGTTTAGGTTGGAAAAGACCTTTAAGATCATCCAGTCCAACCATTAAAGGATAGATAAGACACATTAGGGAATATAGTTTATTAACAGCCAATCCATGTAATGGGCATATACTTTATTAATATAAATAAAATAATAATAAACAACATTATAAATAGTAATAAATAAATAAATAACAGTTGCAAATTGGAAATCATAACTCCAACAATGGTAACAGAACAACGGGATATTGTTCGTTTGCAGCCTCATTTCATCTGCCCACTGGTAGACTATTAATCTGATAAAACGTATTTACCAGACATTAAGTCTTTTTCCAAATAACTTGACATTGTTGAGATGTGTGACAGCTCTTTCCACAGCATACTCGTCACCCATCTCAACCAGTGCCGTTCCTGGAATAGTCTTCATAAATTTCACCTAAGGTAGATAAGTGAAAAAATGACATTGCAACAAACAGACCAGCCAAGAGTTTTATAAGGCATTAGGAAATATTTTTAGACCATCTCAGCCAGGCTTTCCCCAAAACAATTGAAATGACTACAGAGTTTCCAAGTTTCTAATAAATCATGCCTTACCTTCTCAATGTTTCCATACAAGCAGAACAGGTTGAAGACCCTTGAACAGTTCATCTTTAGCTGATGCAACCCACTAACCATGACAACTGACCCAGAAGGATTTCCACCATGCATGTAAGAGGAGGATGCCTGGGGCAACGGATAAGCAACAAGTTCTGGAGTGTCCCGAGATCCCATTCGGTACCGGCTTGGTAAGGGCAACAAAGGACCATGTGACCCTAAGGAGATGAAAGATCATACTTACATACTGTTTGAAACAAGTTTCAGTACTTAATCATGCATTAAAGCCCACATATGTAATGCATATTTAAAGAAGGGGGGGAACAACATTACAGCAGTGTCCATTAATTCCATAAATTTTTAATTGGAAAATTTAAAAAAAAAACCAAACAAACAACCAAACCCAAAAACCAAACCCAAACAAACAAACAAACCAAAAAAAAACCCCTCTTCTAGTCTCTTTAATGTTCCAAGTCTCTTCTTATATTACCAGACAAGAAGGAAGGAGCTGTTTCATGGTATTGTTTTTATACACAAGTGAAAAAAGCTATTTTGGTAATTATAAAAATAGTATCTTCCCTGCACCATACAAAATATTTGAACATAAACCTATCAGAAGAAATATTTAAAATAAACCTTCAGCAATATTGCCATGTTTACTTCTAGAGCTACATGACACCAAGAAATAATACTACAAAGTAGGGAAAACAAACCAAAAGGAGCAAACTTTCAGCCAGAAGTCGGGACAAGAGATGACACAGCTCTTTTCCAGAGACAAGAGATTAAGTCAGAAGACTGCCTTTCTACAAACAGCTCATTTGGAAGAAACAGGAATACTTAAACCCCTGCATTAACACAAAATGAAGCTGTCCTATTTTCCACTACAGGTAAAGTGACAAGTTTCATTAAAATAAACATTTCCCCCCCTTCCCCCCGCAATGAAGGGACATTACCAGTATGCAATACTGCTGTTTACAGAAGACATCAGTATTACAGACCAAGGAGAGGATCCCTGTTCTTCTGAGACAAAAATAATGCAAAATTCACATAAGCCAAGTATAAAGGGAACCTTTTGTCCTTTTTTCCCCAGCAAAAAGCAGTAATGAGAGGGAGACAGTGGTATAGGAGGAGACAGCCACATTACTTAAGGCAGAAGGGTATATCAGAAGAATGAAAAAAGAACATCAGTGAATACAAGGTAGAACTTGGAAATTCTGGAGATTTGAAGAACCTTTGGGAAGAGTAGGTAGAAGGTCAACCTACATTGTAAAATATCATAAATACATTTGCAAACAAAGAGGCAAGACAAATCACATTGCATCTGACAGTTAAGAGAGTAAATGACTAGAGAAGTCCCATCTAACTGGGGACATCAGTTTCTCAACCCTGAGGTCTTGGTCCAACACATGAAAGTGACACCAGATATTCATTTACAGACAGCACCGGTAACAACTGCAGCACTTCACAGCACTAATTCCAAAACATCATTCTTATACAGTCATATAGCTATACCTTTTCAGAATTAGCTAAATTAGAAGACACGCAAAGCCCACATTCACAGCTTTGCATGCAAGAACATCAAAGAGCTCTGTATTGCATCAAACCATTGATCAAGCTATGCTGACATTTTCCAGAAGAAAACTTTTTTCCCAGTACAGATATAATTTTCCATCCGTTGCCAGGGTGATGGCAACTAAAAGGAAACATTATTCCAAGGAACAAATTTGTAGAGCCGGATGCTCTCCGTGAAAGGAAGAGGTACAGCAATTAATGCACATAGATTTCAGTAAATCACTAGCATTTTCAGAATGTGGACTGACAGCACCACACATACAGCACCATAGTGAACTACTCATGCAGTAGGGGTCCGCAGTTAAGCACTGACTGAATATTTAGAATTTCACATAACACGTAAAGAAATCATAACCACCTGTCATCCTATGTTACTTACCATAACCATCATGTCTAAATGATGATGGGTGCTCTCCCAAAATAGCTTGCCTCTGGCGGCCCTTCCCTCTGTCTAACATGTGGGAAGGGAAAGAAAACAGTTTAGTATGCATAACTATGCACTTGATTTCTCCAGTTAAGACACAAAGCTTCTCATTAAGAAGCAAAAAAGTAATTTGAGTCCCTGTTAATTTTATAAACGATTTCTCATTCATTATACATCTAAAACCACAAGCTGTAGCCCTGGGACACCAAAATTAAAAGACTGCCATCTGTATAACAAATTGCACTTAAGTTGATTGGGGGCAGTAGCCAATGAGAAGATGCAGACATTTAAAGTTTAAGGAAATACCCAAGTTTTCCTAAACAGACACCACACATTAGTATAGATAACACCATACAGCAGGATTTACCTACGTGTCTCTTAAAACAAATTTGAAATGCAGTACTTTTGAAAGACAGTACCTGAATCATAATATTAGCTTCAACAGCAACACATTTTCAAAGTGGGCTTCTTTCAAGAAGTTTCAGCATAAGCCAACAACAACCTGTATTACATGGTTTCATAATCAGTAAACAGAGAGCATTACATATGTGTACATATATATTTACAGAACACCTACTGATTTATGGGCGTGCTGAAAGGATTGTACATTATTGCATTATCAGCAGCACATAACAGTTCTATTGAAGAAAAACATCACTGAATAATGCACTTCAACGGTCAATCCTTTAAGAAAACCCAGTTCTCTAGGATATAAAGTTAAGCAAGGGGTCTACATTACTGGAGGAAAGCAGTGCATCACAGCCAAAGCTGTATTTTCTAATCAGATCCGTGCTGCATGACAAAGAAAATCTAAACTTCCAGATTTCTTTGTGGTAAGCAACAATTGATTTCTCACAATTAAGAAAGCCATGTTGAAAAGATGGGGCAAGACATTTATCAGTTTACAGCAGTTCCCAGGAAATTTAAGTATGACTGCTGAAAAGGGCAACTCCAGCCCAATGCAGCTGGAGGTATTTCCCCTGAAAAACAGGAACTATTCGCATTAGACAACACAACAGTGGGAGATGAAAATGCACGTGCCCTTGGATTTTAAGACAGGTTCCAAGCCAGATATTTACTTTGGCAATAAACCCTGAAGAGAGAACAGCGCTGAATGCCTTCAAATATACAGAAGAAAGATTATTTTTGTCAAGTTTTGGTTTTCTATTCCCTTTTCAGGGTAACAGCTCTTGTTCTTGGCTCTAGAAAGCAAATGGGCAGTCATATCAAGTATTTTGAGCATTTAACCTGTATGCAGTAATCATCTTTCAGAAAAATCAAGTTTATACTTCCAGTCTGTGGAGCTAAATGCTTTGAAACTGCACACAGTAATATACTAAAGGACCATGTTCTTCAAATAAAGAATTTTGGGAGAACAGAATTTCACAAATATTTCCTCCTTGTGGTGGTGTAGTCCACTGCTCTCTCCTTGCCCCATACTTGTTCCTTCCTTGAACAAGTCCCTCAACTGTGCCAATACAAACACTTATGCAAACAGGCATTGAAACATAAGAACTGATCTGTGTTAAAAGTAATTCTGAAAGCAAAGATTCTTTATAATCTAGTTTAAGTTTGGGGTTTGCTGGTTTTTGGTTTTGTTTTTAAATCAGGTCCTTGAGTGACTGTGTATGCTGGTATTACCACCAAAAGAAATGCTCCAAACTACAGTTTGAACTTTCTGGCTAAAAGCAAGTAGAATATTAGAAGTCAGGTGGTTTTTTTGGATCAGTCTAATGCAATATGGGTTCATAGCAGCAGGCACTTGTTAGGAAGTTTACTTAAGTGAAAAAATACTATGAGGAGGGTGTGTGAAATTCTGAAAGGATGTATTAGCATGCCTGTCCTCAGAATGAAATTCCTTTGGGCTAAGATCTTGTTTGCTGCAGTCAGATCCCTACAGTTCGGGTCACATTAAGTTCAAAAGCCAAACAACACTGCTGCAAGAGTAAGTTGAAGCACAAATATGGAAACTCTCACTCAAAAAAAAAAAAAAAAAAAAAAGCCCTGGATTACTTTATGGGCAAAATTGCTCTAGATGCCTGCTTTCTCAAGCACGTTTCAGTGTTCATTCAACAATATATATTCCCATTTTCTAGATAAATGGATATGGGTCACAGTAAATGTAAAATCATGCTATATACAATATAGCATGATAAAAAGATATATATAAAATACAAGTTTAATTCTTTTCCTCTTATGTGTAGTAGAGTGATGTATAGAAAATAGAGACAGGCTGTCAAAGCAACAAAAGGATACCAGAAGAGTAGTGTGGGTGTTCTTGAGAAAGAGCAAGCCGTACCTATCCTAAGTTTTTCATTTTCCACTGTCTTCTCTAGCTTCAGGAACATTTAGTTCATACAGCCATATCTATCTGTAGACCAATTACATAATGTAATTAGATGCACAATGTTACAAGTCAGCCTCCAAACACTGCAATGATCAAAAGATAGGAGGGTCAAATTAATCCTTCAGATTTTTCAAATTCAAACCTTCAGATTTTTTCTTGCCCTTGAGTTTCTTCAAAATTCCTTTAACTCAGGAATTTGAGAAAAAAATTTGAATCCTGATACAAATAGTCATAATCTACAAGCTGCAACCAATACTGTAGCTCCCTTGTTAACTTTTTACAAGAACTTCATTTTGAAAATTCAAGCCCTAAGTTTTTAGTTGTACAACAGTTTTACAAGCCCAGAGTCTCTGCAGAATTACTTTGAAAGTGCGTATCACTTGAGACAGCCAAAGCCCTCATTCTCATATAGCCTTTGATAAGTAGATACTCTACCTTGGACACATTGTCTTCACTTTTCTAACTTTACATTGCACACATTATTGTACATAAGTTACTGAACACTGCACTCAATAGTTACAATTTTTTTTTTTAAATAACACTTTACATGAGTTAGGCTACACAGCAGTTTGTCTTTACATATATAGTCATAGTTTCCACTGACATGAGTTAAGCTCTGGTAATTTTTACAGCTGAATACTTAAGAGACAGTATGCCTGTACCAATTATGAATCTCCCTGTTTTAATGCTTATATATAACTGAGGGGACTTATCTGATATCGCACTGCTCAGTTCCAACTATCTACAGATGAGGATTAAACTTCCCTACTACTACACAATATTTACACTGTTAAGACTGAATGCAACTCTCACATACAGCAAGTAATAAAAAGATTACAATGTCAATAATATCAACAAGAGAGGTTCTTAATTTTGGAGGTTCTCAAATTTTCAGTTGTAATTTTAAGGGAAATAAGACCATCATACATACAAACTTGAACAGAATGGGTACAGTCTATCATGTTATTCATCCCATACAAATCTGAAGTACTGAAAGTGTCCTCCTTTAAAAACTTGTGGTGGTGGTGCATGCAGTATGCAGACAAGGTGAATTGCAAGTCTGAGTTTTTTCAGAGGGTTTTTTGTTTGTTTGTTTAATTTTTTTTGCTGATGCCGATGTGGTGCATGATGAAGTGTAGAGTCAGCCTGCTGAAGTCCTCTATCCTTCTTAATGCCTCGTCCAACATAGGGGAAAAGAGTCCTTTCGAAGGAGAAGCAGTGTGCAAGTTTGTAGTTTGTAAGGAATAGTCTGTACCAGGTTTCCTCTCCTCCAAAGAGAGAGAGCTGCTTGGAGAAATGCAAGTCCTTGAGAACTGCGAAGGTGCTTGCAGGTGTGGGCTCCTTGTTGAACTAAGTGGCTCAAGCACACGGCAGTAGGGGGGACTAGGGCTCAGGGTTAATTTCCTGGCTTGTGAACACAGCCTTCAGCAGCACTGGCTTGCTTTGAAATGACTACTGCGATACAGCCTGACCATGTATAAAGGATTGTCATTAGTATAGTCAAACATCTATAGCGATAACATATGAAAACCTACCTCGTCGGCCCAGATACGGTTTAGTGTAGTCCCAACTATCGTTGTCGTTTCTAATGACATTAAGTCGAGTTGGCTGTTCAAATAAAATAAAAGTGAAAAAGGTTAAGTCTTGATTATATATATTTTTCTATTAAAATTAAAGAGAAGGTCCAAGCATTACCCTTGCATATTCAATTTTTAGTGTGCAGCATCCTGCATAGATATCTGCTCCATTGAGCGCAGCCTTCGCCTTCTGGGCACAAAACACTGATTCAAACATACACATCACGTTAAGGATTTTTTTTCCCCAGGTGTCTCACTCACGTCCCTTTCTTCTGACATGGTTTTATTTTTGTAGCCTGCAGATACTTCACTATTGTATACCTTACAAGAACTCTAAACAGACTTTAATATAAAATTACCAAAAAGTACATATGGGTTCAACTTATGTAAAGCATCTGGTTTTTATATGTAAGCAGCACATGATGAGACCATTCATAAATTAGTAAATTTATGGTAATTTAGTAATTTAAGGCTTTAAACTGTTTTTTCTTGCCTGACCTGGGCATAAGCACCTCTGGGGTTTGGGTCTCCTTGGTGGCATTTCCTGATGGCTCCTTAGTCCATCAGGCCCACCACAGAAAAAGAACTTTTCCACACCCCCAGACTCTAGCTCCCAAGCCTCTTTATCCTAGAAAAAGAGGAATTGCTCCAGCTGTCACCGTGACACCCAGACATTTTGCGCCATCCTTAGATATAGTTTAGTGTAATTTTAGAGATAGTCTGTATTAACAGCATATCCCTTGTGTTCTACCACATTCCTGCAGCCCAACTTCTTCCAAAGTGATATAGGTTCACTGTGGAATTTAAAAGTGAGAAAAGTTAAGCTTCCCAGACCTCTAAGAACTGGCTAGAACTGTGGGAGCACATCTGCAAAAGTAATGGGTACTACTACTACTACTTGCTACTGCAATTAGCATGGAAATTTGAGTCAAATTTTGAACTTTTCAGACAAGGCTTGTCTTGAAGCTCCCTTTTTTCCCCTCCCCCCCCAACTGTTTACCTACGCTGCCGCATTACTTTGCTCACATTTGTGAGTTTTCTTTCAGTTGCTGGTTGTTTCTGTTTTTAGTAAAAGGCATGTTGCAGAATTTAATTCAAATGACAGAAGTATGATAGTTTCAGAGTATGTGCAGGATCCTCCTCACAACTTCCCTAATCTTTCACAAGATGCAGAGTAACCCCCAACTGTACAAGTAATCTGATCCAGACAACAACACCGCTTACCACAAACTCCACACACTATCATACTAAGTCAAACTACTGTCTGTTAGGACACACAGTTGAAGTCTTCTACATAGATAAACAGCAATTAAGTTTCATTTTATGGAAGTTAGGGTAATTCTTTTTGCCTGGCAAATCATCAATGCAGCCACTGATTAAGTCATATGTTACAGAATAGACCCACTAATAAAGAGCCATGTCAGTAGCATCTTAAATCGCAAAAGAATTTCTGAGATTTTGATACAATTTTGTCCAGGTAACAGCTCAGAAATGGAGGGTAATCAGTCTCTAGGAAGAGGGCTATCAGAGTTTTATTAACTAAGGAGTAATCATATCAGACTTTGGACTTTGCAAACCACTGTAACACATTAACAACTCTGAACATTCATCCCATGTACAACTTAATGCTACAAATACAGTAAACAGTAGGATAACAGAGCAAGCAATTTCCTCACACACAATAAACAGGTCAAGGAGGCCTAAGTTGGTCTCATGCTTAATTAAAGCCAGAATAGTAAGATTAGCAGTATATATTAGAACTATTTTAGAAGAGTCTGAAGAAGTCAAACTGCATCTCTGCAATCCCTTACCCATTTCCTGAGTATCAACAAAGGCAGAAGCCATGGAACTTTTGTGTATAATGCATTGTCAAATCTATGACATATTTCACGTCTGCAATTATTAGCCTTATGGCCACCTATAAACGTGGTTATCAAGACCATTGTTGACAATGTCATTTTCCTATGAAATGTGTAAGTGCTATTTTGTTTCATAGACATATAGAAATTAGAAATTACCGTGTCTTAAATAGAAATTAAAAAATAATTTGGCCTCAAAATTACACAGTGTTTTTCTAACATTCTCATGTTAAATCCCATCTGCAGTCAAGAACCTACAGAAAAAAAAAAAAAAAAAAAAAAATCACACTCCAAAAGGATATTCAACCATAGCTTGTATTCCATTTCTCTTGAATATAACAATGCGCTGAACTTTTCCAACAGGGTTGCACACAGTATACAAGACATCCTAAGGAAGAAGAAAAAAATATTTTAGTCAGGTGTGAAATTTCAAACACTTTAGGTCCACAGAACATTTTCTTGCATTGGCATTTAAATGCCAAATAACAAAGCAGCAGCTTGTTAACTTTTCATTTATAATTTTCCCCTATACAATTTATACATTTGTGATTATAATTTTTATGGATTAATATAGTACAGGCAGTCAAATCTGAAAAACAGGAAAAAACTTCTTATAAGAAATGCTCATGCAAACATTAATTTAACAAGTATCTTCAACTGTGTTAAAACCAGTAACTGCATCCATGTCTCAAGCTGTGCTTCCTTTTAAGCATGCACTGCAGTAGCTTAACCAAAGAGAGACAAAGTGACACTGTCATTATAACACATTTAATTTCATAAGAATCTAGCAGCTGAGGGGTTTTTTAATTAGTCATGTTCATTTTCAGAAAAGTAACCAGGGGTAGTCTAAGTTGTAAGCTTAGGTAGCTTATCAAAAGGAGAATTTCAATCTTATTCACCTGAATCAAAGACACTGCAAGTGGTTGCTGTGCTTCTCCACTTAAGGCAGAGAAAACTTCTGACAGGAAACACTGGATTCACACAAACTCATTGTTAACACTCTGCTTTCACCAGTATTTGTCTATACAAGGAACCAATAAAACTCAAGACCATCTTCAGTGCTGCAGGGGAACCAAACAGTAAGGAGAAAAGCTCGCCTTACTGCACATCACTCCAGGCTTATGATGTGGTGCTAGTATCTCAAACAACAGTTGATTGCACATAACAATTCAAACATCACGGTACCAGAAACTAGTCTCCAGCATGAATGTGGCCAAGAAAAATAAGTTTGTTTTAGAGTGATTTTACACCCATACTCAGAATTCCAAAGACTCAGGCTTGAGAACCTGAACAAACAGGAACTGTGATGTCTTGAAACAATTCACCTGTTAGATCATGTTCAAACAGCTGAAAGCACATAAGCTTTACTAGACAGCGAGTTTCATAGCTAAACCTAGCAGGCAAAGGCACTGACATCTCAGTGAAACACTCTACCACAATCTATTTTTCCCTTCCTTTCTTTGTATCTAAACCAAATACTTCCAAAATGCTCATTCCAAGATCTTAGTGTACATCCTCAGGTTTATTTGGGAGACAAGAGGGAGAAGGAGGAAAGGAAGTAGGTACAATATTTATTACTATGTTCTCCGGAATACTGGAGCAATTGGGATGCAAAGGTGTGGGGGGCATGCTGGATTTCTTAAGAACAAAACAAACAGACCCCCACATACCACCCCTCCAAACAAGAAACTAGAAAAAGAGGATGTCTTATTACTGGCTACAGCTGCAGTGGTGTAATTCCTGGCTTATATAAAGTACCATAAGCTTTAATATATGGACATATTGCTACTAAAAAACCAACCAAACAAAAAAACCACAATGAACCAAAACCATTGTCCATGCTCAGGGGCCTTGTTTCAAACACTCCAGTGAGTGTTTTGCATAGCTAAATGAAGCAAGCAGAGGAGATTGTCAACCTTAAGATTTTCAGAAGATGGACAGACTTTTTTAGAAAAGATTCAAGTAGCCTGAACCCCTAAAAAATAAGATTTATGAGATCATTTATAGGTATATTTTCTATACACACTCAATGGCACAAAGAGCTGCCCTCCATCTCCTGTTGTTTGGGGGAAAAGGGTCCTGAAAACTTAAATTTCTTCACAGCCACTTATTTTAAAAAAAAAAAAGTTGTCTTTCCAGGAGTTAGTCAGAAGGACCCCCTGGGAAACGGTCCTCAGGGACAGCAGAACAGAACAGAGCTGGCAGACCTTTAAGGACACCTTCCATAGAGCACAAGAGCTCTCAGTCCCCAAGTGTAAGAAATCAGGCAAGGAAGGGAAGAGAGCAGCATGGCTAAGTCAAGACATGCTGGTCAGACTAAAGAGTAAGTAAGGTGGCAGTCTCACAGGCGTGAATGGGTGCCTTCCCCCCC